CTCAAGTGGTAGAGCACTAGCCTTGAGCAAAAAAGCTCGGAGATAGCTACCAAGACCTGAGTTCAAGCTCCAGAACTGCCACCCGCTCCCCCTCAAAAAAAAAAAAAAAAAAAGCTGTATTAGTAAATGGAGTGGACAGGGTTGTGTTTGTTTTTGTTTTGTTTTTTAGAATTTCAAGTTTGGCATTTAACTGAGTAGAAACATGAAGCATTTAGGAAATGTAAAATTTACTGGGAATTGCTGGAATTGCCTTAACTAATCTAGAATGAATGACTCAGGAAGTAAGCAAATCATATTTGTGATTACTCAGAAAAATGTTTAAAGCACATTTTTCGGTTCTTTTTCTCCGTTTTCATCTTCTCTTTTGTATATTTACAACTGAGAAAAGGTGGTGGCTTTATTTTTCTCTAGAGAATTTTAATTGACATAATTCAGACAGAATGCTTTTCAGAAAATACCTATATTAAAGTATCTCTATTACATTCAAATTAAGCAGTAGTGGGGAAAAAAAATGATCTCCAAACAAGAAAAAGATGGTCCAATTTAAGTACTGAATTTAAAATCCAGCATCATCTTCCCCTCTCCTTTTTTGAACTGTCTCACATTTTAGGCATCCAGAATGACACATTTTGAATGGATAAGTTCAAACCTTACCTGTAATGCACATGGAAAGAACGCAGTTGTCTTATTTCATGTGTCTCCATGCTAACTTTTCCTGCATTAGCAAATACAATGTATACATTTAACTGTAGGCAAAACAGGAGGAAAGGAAGAATGAGTTCCAAGCAAACTTCAGAGATGAGGGCTTAAGTATCCTGGGGAAAGTAAGGATATCGTTCTTTGGAGTAAAGTACTAAATGTGTCACAGTGTGGAGCTAAGTGACATAAGATTATTAAGAGACAGGACAAAGGATGGAGAAAGCAGAGACTTGTAGGGTGATAGAGACCAGGGGCCTCCCCTAAAATGGAAGAACAGAAAGAATGTCGAGTGTGATTTCTACCGATTTCGAATTCACACAGTAAGAAAACGAATGCTTTGGACGATGCTCTTATTTTTTTTTTCCCAGAATTTTTGTTTTGTTTAGCTTTGAGATAGGGTCTCAGCATGCTACCCAAGCTATCTTTGAACTTGTGATCCTCTTGCCTCTTAATCCTAAGTGCTAGGATTACAGATGTGTGTCCCCTCATTTGACTGGATTCTTTCTTCCTTGTGCAATTATGTATTTCCTCCCAGTGTCGGACAATCCTTACCATTAAGAATGATATGAAATCTCTCTCTTCCTGCACAGATTTCCCCTCTTCTTCTTCCCTTTCCTTCTATCTTCTTTCAATCTGAGTTGTTTCATCCTCTCTTCTTTTGGTTACCTATTACTACAAAACTAACTCTCCCAAACAGAGCGCTTTCATCTGTCCTTCCTGTGAAATGACTGATTTCCTTCAGCAAGGTGGTTCTTGCCCAAGGTCTTCCATAGAGTTGCCTCTATGACTGATACTGATGGGAGTCACCCAAAACACCAGTGGACTAGATGTCCAAGTTGGCTGGACATCCAGCATCTGACTGGATGAATCCTTCTTTCTTTCCCTTCCTTCTCTCTCTTCTATATACTTCTCCAATGTGGGCTTTCTCCTAGCATAGAGGTTTCTGGGTAGTCAGAAACTCATGGTAACATGGAAGAAAGCTCAAAGCTTACGGCCTAGCCTCACTGTGGCTCAATTCTGTTGGTCAGAGCAGGTTACTGAGCCAGCCTTGAGAGTGTGGCTTATCGGCAGTAACACTCTTAAAGACTACCTACCTCATTTCTCATCTTTCAAATTTTTTGTCCTTTTCTCTTTTCCCTATGATTGAAATGTCTTAGTGTCTGCCTCATCTAACACTTCATGTCTGTACTTTTCTGTCAGTCATAGTATGACCCATTGAAAGATAATTTTGAGGAATTCTTACTCATGCTCTCTTAATGAATCCTGAAGTTGAATTTTCATTTAGCTACATTGGAATGAAGCACTCTAAAGTCCCCATAGAAAAGCTGTGTGACTATATTTTAGAAAGTCTCTTTGGGAAATCAGATTTGATTCATTTTTAACCACCAGTGATAACGTATCAAACGTAGAAGGCAGATCAATTTTAGGGAAAAGTGATATGCTGTCCCTGTGGCCGTCCTGGAGTGAACTCTTCAACAATATTGCTTTTCATGCTTAGCCAGTAATTAATGAGCCTGCTGTCTACTTGGGGCTGAGCTGTGATTTATTTTTCTGTTGGACCTCTTTTTCTCACATTTAAGCTCTTACAAAGCTAAAGCTTTTTTTCTTTCTCAATCTCTCAAGTCTGAAAAGGAGGGAAAAATAACTCAAATCTGAAGGATTTGTTGAATAATTACATGGTGTTTGGGAAATTCTTTCCTGAAAACCCTTTATGAGTAGATGGCTTAACTTTTCCCTAGGACTGTGAATGCCATCAAAGACTTTGTTTTTTCTAGAGTTATGAAGTCTTTTGTTTTCTTAAAGGTGCTAAATCTCTAAAGATTTTCTCTGGCAATTACAGAAAACAAAACGCGTTAAGAGGAAATGGAAAGTTAGAAATGACAAGTAATTTGATTTTTTTTTTTCTACTCATATGCCCTAGGGAAAGTCTACCATAAAAGATTAATTTGCTCACAAGGTTTCTTTGCCATTAAAAGAAACAGGAACAGCATGGCAGAAGCATTTCCTTACTCCAGGGAAAAGAGTAGTAGAAGCACAGCCCTCCTCCTTTTATACTGTTAGAGCCATCGTGAATGAAACTTCTAGGGCTAACTCAATATTATTTTTCTCAATTTGTTAGAGTCAGAAAACTCACTCTAAAAAATGGTCAGTAACTACAATTTTCTGTACATTGTCTTCAGGAAAAAAATAGATTTTATAATTTTTATTTTTTATTATTATTTTAAAGGTAATGTACAGAAGGATTACAGTTACATATGTCAGTTAAAGAGTACATTTCTTTTCAGAAAATGTTACCCCTTCCCTCGCTCTCTCCCAGCTTTTCCCTCCAGTCCCCACCCACCAGTTACATAGTTCATTTTCAACATAGTGTTTAGTAAGTAGCACTGCTGCATTTGTTTACCCTTTGTTCCTCCATTTCTGTGGCCTGCCTTACTCTACCCAAAGAGCAATCAATGAACAAACAAGATGAAAAGAAAACACAAACAACAACAAAGATTAAAAACCTTGATTCTATGTCCTAGAATTCATTTCGATAAATATGATTTTATATGATCAGAGGCACCTAGACGTTGTGCCTTTGTGTTGCTTTCCTAAGAGTATCCTTGGGTCTCATTGTGTGTGAATGCCTAGAGCCCTGTAAGATTTATCATGCCCCAGTGTACTTTAGTTTTGAGGTAGAATTAACAAATAAGAGCCATACCTATTGGAAGAGAATACAGTGCTTCAATGTAAATATCCATTCTGAACCCACCAGCAGTTAGCTTCGTAGCAAAAGTATTTAACCAAACTTTTTTTATTGTTTTGTGAACACTTTTCACATCGATATTCACAAATTTTAAGCATATGGTATTATTAATTAGTTATGATCTGTGCATTAGACGCAAAATAGAACCTTTGTACACATTCACCTCCGTTGCCCCAATCCCCTCCTCCTGTCCCCCCCCCGCATCCCCCCTGCATTCCCCAACCCCAGACAACCACCATTATACTCTCTGCGTGGAAGAATTGGACTTTGCTGAATTCCTTCTGTGAGCGAGAGCATGGGACATTTGTATGGCTCTGCCTGTCATTTAGCAACACGTTCTCCAGTTTCATCTACATTGTCACAGCAAGGTTTCCCTATTTTTTAAGACTCTTATTCCATTGTGAATATATCTACATTTCCTTTACTCATCCATGAATGGAAAGCCAGGTCCATGTCATACTTTTTTGACTACATTGTTTTCCAGTTGTTTTTTTTTAATGTGAGAAAATAGCCAGTGACCCCATGGGGCCTTGCCCCTATAAGCTCTCCTTTACCACCTGGGTCTCACGGCAGATAAAATGGGCCTCCATCACTTTGGGGAGCAGATGGTGGCTCCTCTCGGTCATCTTCCCCTCAGCTGCACCAGCAGGAGGAGGGCAGGCACCATTTTCTAGGAAGCTTTAACCTCAACTCAACAGCAACCCTATCCTTAGAATAGCCAGCAAAATCCACAGACTCCTGGAACTCCAGAATCCCTCACTGTCCACTCTCTTTCCCCACCCCGTGTCACCCAGCTGAGGTTGACTCAGGGCCCGCCTTGGGCCTGTTGGCTACAAATGGTGACACAATTTCCAGATTAAGGATGGGGGAAGAGGGAAAGGGAAGACCAAGGTGGTCATGAGGCCAGGATGGACACAGGTTCCTGCACCTGGCTTTATTTGTTCTCATACCTTTCCCCCATAGTCATATCTTGCCATTAAAAAAAAATAAACTTTTAATTAGATATACAAGAGGGTTTCAATTCAACATATGAGTTTAAGAGTACAATGTCACCCCTTCCATCTTTCTCCCCCATCTCTACCAACCCCATTCAACTTAGCTGGTTCCAATCTCCCATATGTACACTGAATATCAGGACTGTATTTGCACACCCCTCCTCTCTCCATTTGTCCATCCCTGACTCCTGACCTCCCCCCACTTCCCAACAACACATTTCAGCTTCCTGGTCATCTTCCTTTTTGCTGATGAGGAAACATGAAGCCTAACCATTAGGCCATGGACTAAAATGACTTGTGAAAATTAATTCCAAGTATCCAAACTACAGCGCTTAAGGTAAATTTGGCCAAAGAATGTGGTGGTCTCCTCGGGTAAGGTGAGGGACTTCCACTGTGGCTGTCTGACAGTTTAGCCAAGGTCCTTCGCTACCCATCCTGGTTGCTGTAATTTGCCATTGGTAATCCACTTGTGGAGAAAAGCGGGGGAAAGTGCGTGAGGTGAGCCTGTGGCACTTAGTCAAGTAACAATAGCTGTCACTCTCTCTTGTTTAACCCTATAGTGGAGTACGACAAGGAGTTCTCCCCTCGCCAGCGACACCACAAAGAGTTCAAGTTCAACTTATCCCAGATTCCTGAGGGTGAGGCGGTGACGGCTGCAGAATTCCGCATCTACAAGGACTGTGTTGTGGGCAGTTTTAAAAACCAAACTTTTCTTATCAGCATTTATCAAGTCTTACAGGAGCATCAGCACAGGTATGAAGGCTCAAGGAAGCCCCCCCCCTCCAAACGTGGGGCTGGCCCCCATTTCTCACTCCTGTCATCATGTGACCCCCCCCCCCCCAAGTATGTCTGTGGCAGGTGCACTGGAGCTCAGGGGCAGCCATGAACACAAAGGCGGGGAGTTATGAAGGGCAGCCTTTACACAGAAACTCGTTCCACTGTGAAGTCCATTTCCTGTGGTTAGCTTTTTGTCAGCAAGCCTGTGATTGGTATCTACTAAGCATCCTTTGAGATCAGACAACAGTGCCATGTTTTGGGGGTAAAATGTCACTCATTACTGCTTGGTCCCCACTTTGGGTGGTGGGTGAGGGTGACTAATGCTTCTATCAAAATTCTATAGTGATAGAGGCTGATTCAGATGACTTAGCCAGATATTTTTGCATCTAATATACACACACTTATATTTGCGTAAGAGTGTATGCTGTATTTTTTACCACTGGATCCCAAGGATAGATAGATTTCCCTTCCCTCCCATATATCTCTTATTCTTATTCCTTCCCTTCCTCTTCCTTTCTCCTTCTTTCCTTCCTCCTTTCCTCCCTCCCTCCCTTTCTATCTTTCTGTTTGGTGGTACTGGGGTTTGAACTCAGGGTCTTGCTAGGCAGACTCTCTACCACTTGAGCCACACCCCCATTAATACTCGTATTTTCTAAAGTAAATCAGTAAAGGATACTCATGGTGCTTCCTAACAGCAAAGAAAACTTCTGGGGAACAGTTGTTGGAAGAGGATGGGAAGAAGAATGATGAAGTGTGGCAATGGTTAGTTCAAACCTGAAAGACACTAAAAAGAAACAAAGTTCTTTGAATGTGGCTCAGTACTTAGATGCCCATTTATTAGGTCCAAGAGAAGAGAGCAGGATGTTATAGAGTAGTAACATTGTTCTCATTGTGTAGAAATCAACCCATTGCTGTGACAGTCTGGTTAAATTATATTATAGACACAAAGGTAACAAGGAAGGAAGAGAAGAGATAGGGCAGGAAAGACCATGCTTCCAGACTCCTAAGGAATTTTTAACTTTCATTTAAGAAATTAAGTTCAGATTCTTGCATTGAGTCTTGGAAGTATACTAACTTCACAAGACTATTGAGATGTCGAGGAATAACTTTGGTTTCTTCTGAACTTGGTGATCTATCACAAATATGCTGCCTGCAATCACAAGGAATAGCAATTCTCCCTATGAATGGTTTGTTTCTTCATTGCAAGCACCACCAGTCTCTCTCTCACCTTGTGTATCTTCATGTCTGAGCGGGGAAACTACAAGGAGAGGTGGAAACCTCATGTTAGGGATCCATCATGGCGTCAAATTTCATAGTTTTGAACGTACAACAATGGCCTCGTCAGCTGAGATTATTCAGTAACAAGCAAGACACAGCCATTGTGGCATCATTATAAAGGATCCAAATTTCTGAAAGAGGGGGATATGTTCAGATGTCTGATTTTTACCCCTCAATTGAAAGTCGATTCAATAGCTTTCCAATTGACAAAGCGGAGGGCCGCTTTGAGGCTGCGAGTCATTCGTCTTTGATTCTTTGGAAAGAATTAGTAATCAGAGATTCTTGGGTACAATTTTAGCCTTGGACTTTTCTATCTGCCTAGTCATTTATTCTATTCTATTTCTCTGTTGGGAATAGCCTACTGGTACCTTTGTGGCTGTGAAGTTTTTTTGGGATGCATGGTTTTCCCTGTTCTGTGGGGAAAGTATCATAGTAAAAAAAAATAAAATAAAACAAAAAAGAAAAAAAAACCTATAGGCTGTAAATTTATGGCTTAGGCTCTCTTTGTTCTAAAATTATTATTATTATTATTTTAAGAGAGTTGACAGACCTTTTGTGAGGTTTATCCTGAATTCCAGCCAAAATAGAACAGCTGCTTGGTGCTCAGGATGGTGGAGACAGACTTCCTTGAGGCCTACAGTGAGTTTGGAAAATGAAATCTTGAAGAATCCCAACTTTGGATGGCTCTCTCCCAAAGCAGAGAGCCGTCGTCCTTTGCCTCCTAGGATGGGATGCTTGGCAATGGGATGAGGTTTAATTTTTGTGCATAGGAGAGGGAACATATTGGGAGGACTGAGAGAAGGTTGTGTTTTTAAAGGGTTGTAGGCTGGCCATGGGAAGGTTTTCTTATCTGCAGGCCAGAAGCCCAGGCCTCCTGCCGCTTCTCCCAGTGGCCTCCAGAGGCTACAAGGCTTCTTGGTTGGTTGGTGGGGGGTGAGTAATAGATATATAGATCTCCCCATCTGTGCCTCTTGGGGTATCTTGGCTAAATACACTTTTTCAAGCTTGTAAAGAAATGTATTTGTCTAATCTATGTTTAAGTGAAATTTGTAGCACTTGATGGATTCACTTCATTTAGCAAATGTTTGTGTTGCAAAAGAGTTGGCCGCCTTGAATAAAGGGGTGAGGGCAAGTCAGAGTTTTATACTTTGCCTTTTCTGTTTCTCCATTAGAGCCTTGGTTTCTTTCTTATATTCTGCAATAGTGGGCTTGAACCTAGGACCTCAGGCATGTTAGGCAAATGCTCTATAAATGCTCTAGGCAAATGGTGTATTGGGTCAGAGAAGGACAGGAAGGATTCGTGTTTGGTATGAATTATCGGGTAAGTTTTTAAAAAACAAAGTCTTGGGGCTGGCAGCTCAATCCTGTAATCTTAGCTACTCAGGAGGCTCATATCTGGAGGATCACAGTTGGAAGCCAATCTTGCCCCCCCTCATTTCCTCCCCCCCCAAAAAAAAAGTTTGTGAAAATACCTAGCAATACCCAGAATACCTAGAATACCTAGCAAAGACCATCTCTGGAGGTGTGGTACAAGTAGTGGCCTGCCAGCCCTAGCAAGTATGAGGCCTAGAGTTCAAATCTGAGCCCCACTCCCCTCCCCACCAAAAAAAAAAAAAAAATGGCTACTTGAACAAATGATGCTTTGAGTAATATCAAGGAAACATTTAGTACTTTACTCAAAGCTTGAGACTAAGTCCTACACCAAGGCCAGATCATGGAGAGATATGCAGCAGGTCATAGACTGAAATGAAATCCACTCAGCCTTCTACACTAGTGTCCAAACCACCCAGGATGTTCTTTGCATTTTCTCTCTTTAAAAAACACAACAACACTCCATGCCTGAGCACCTGTGCCTCACACCTGTAATCCTAGCTATTCAGGAGACTGAGATCTGAAGGGACAGTCAAAGCCAGCCCAGGAAAGAAAGCCCACGAGACTCTTTATCTGCAATTAACTACCCCTACCCTTCATCCCCCTGTGCGCCCCCCACCCCCCGGCCAAAAGCCAGAAGTGGATCTTTGGCTTAAGTGGTAGAACACTAACCTTGAGGAAAAAGAAAGAAAAGAAAAAAAAACAAACTAGGCCTTGAGTTCAAGTCCCAGGATTAGCACAAATACAAAACAAAATACACAAAACAACAACAAACCACTCCATATTTGTGTGTGTATTTTAGTATTGAGTATTGTATTTAGTATTATTTTAGTGGTGGGTTTTGAACTCACGTCCTTGACTTTGCAGGCACTTTACCATTTGAGCCACACCCTATCTGCTTTGGCAATTTTTTTTTTTTTTTTATTTTTTACATTGTCTTTTTTTTTTTTTTTTTTTTTTTTATTGTAAAGCTACTATACAGAGGGTTACAGTTACATGAGTGAGGTTATGAGTACACTTCCTCTTGAACATTGTTACCCCCTCCATTGTTTTCCCCCTACCATCCCCTCCCTCCCTCCCTTCCCCGAGGTTCTTTTTTTTTTTTTTTTTTTTTTTTTTTGATTGTGATTTAATGATTACATAATTTCAAAGTCACAAGTTCATTCTAACTTCCCTGGAGCAAATTGTCTACCACAGTCTGTAATATATAACAGTGTTCACATGTTATATACCATATTTGTGATCAGCAGCATGAGGATATTTAGTAGTGGTTCAACCAGATGAGCAGGAGTTCTTTGTTTCTTAAGTCCTGTTAGTTTTGTCGTATCACCTAACCTTTTGGATTTAGCATCCACTTATGAGGGAGACCATGTACCGTTTGTCTCTTCGTTCTTGGCTTACCTCGCTCAACATGATTCCTTCTAGCTCCATCCATTTCCCTGCAAATGCCATTATTTTGTCATTTCTTGCTTTGGCTATTTTTAAGAGAAGCTTTCACTTTCTCCATATGCAGCTTACATTATGATCTTATTTATGCTTCCTATCATAGCTAGGATGATAGGCACACACCACTACTCTACATTTCCCTGTTGAGGTAGAATCTTTTTTTTTTTTTTTTTTTTTGCTTGAGCCGGCCTCAATCTCAACCTCCAGAATAGCAAAGGTTACAGATATGGATCTTCATATCTGGCTGTGATGGCTAGCATGTATGAGGCCATGTATGAAGTGCCATAGCACTTCAAAAAATGTAGAACTGTCAACAGTTTGGAAAAAGCAATATTCTCTCAATAGGAGTCTGCCATGCCCCATCAGATACACAAGGCAGGAATGTCACCTTTGAGAGAACGAAGCAGGGCACATAAGAACTTTGCCAAGACCAAATAATGCCTGAACTCTTGTCTTCATGCCTCCTACCAGTCACCTAGTAACTAGGGTCAGTACCAAGATAAAGGTGGGGTATCAGGAGGTGAAGAGCCATCTCGTCTGACATGTCTCTATGCCTCCATTTTTTTTGAGCTTTGGTGTGAACTTCCCAAGAGCGCCTCCTTCTAACCAATTGGTAGTATAAGAATATGCTGGCAGAATTCAGCCCTGATACTAGGAAAATCAGTATGCAATTTCCTCAAAAAAATTAAAAATAGCTGGGTGCCACTGGCTCATGTTTGCAACTCTAGCTACTCAGGAGATGGAGATATGAGGATTGTGATTTGAAGCCAACCAAGACAGGAAAGTCTGTGAGAGTATTATCTCCAATTAACTACCAAAAGCCGAAAGTGGAGCTGCAGCTCAAATGATAAAGTATTAGCCTTAAGCAAAAGAAGTTCAGA